ACCACGTGGTGCCAGGCCGCTCAAACCCCCCGAGCGCCGCGCCACTCAACCCCCTGCCCCCTTCGAGCGCCGCATCGGGCTGCCAAAGCCCCCCCGCAAGCGCCACACCGCCAAAATACCCCCTGCGCTGCCCAGCTGAAACAAAAACAAAAACAAAAAAAACCCTCGAGCGCCACCTCGCCGAACAAAAAAAACAAAAACACCGCGAGTGTCCCCTGCCACCCCAACATTGGCCGCCCCTTCTAAGGTGCCGCCCCAAGCATGTGCTTGGTCGGCTGGTGCCTGGAGCTGGCCCTGCCTACAGGCCAAAACCCTGTATGTTAAGCTCATGCAAAGTGAACACATTTTGGGACCCTTACCCAGAAAAGTAAAATTAGACAAAACACCCACGTAGATGTCTAAAGACCTTTGCCTGAACCAATAACAATAAAGGGTGGAAAAAGGGGATTATTGCCCACAAATCCAACAAGTACACCACAAATGCGTACATACCTGTCATCCATACACACATACATACTAGCCTATGGGGTAAATGTACCCTAACATTTCTGTGGGGGGGAAAATAAAATTTGGGCATAAAAGGAAGGATTTCCGACTAATGCCCTATAAAAAGGCGAGGCAGCTCACCATTAGGCCGGCAATCTACCCACCTATCTGCTCCTGTCTACTCTTCATTGCCTCCACCTTCAACTACATATCGATGCTACCCATCTACGACGGCTATTAACTATTAATAGGCCATATTTTATTTCTTTTCAAACTGTAAGTTTAAAGGACCTTAATTTCCCCTATGTTTTATTTTAGTTAAGACATACAAAGTTAAGTAAAAAAAGTAAACAGCTCTGCATTTAACTTCCTCTACCAGAGGTGTAAAAACAAAAATTGCCATAGGCCTGGTACCACATCTCCCAACACCAGGTTTTCAAAACAGGGTGTAAGTATTAAATAAACTTTACAGCTTATAATCTTTTATATATATATATATATATATATATATATATATATATATATAAACTGTAATACTTGTAACTCTGTAATTCTGTTTTACCAGTTGCTTACTAGTTCATTAATTTTAATAAAAGGTCTTTGACTATATCTGTCTCAGTCTAAGCTTCCTGTCATGCCCCCGAAGTTCCTTTTATAAACTCTGTGAAGCCTAATTCAGGACAAACTTTATCTTCTAATCAAACAAATTGGCGAGCCAAAACCCGTACTAATTAATACCCATAATAATAATTATTAAAATTATTAATTAAAATTAATAAAATAAAATTAAATTAAATGAATAAATTAAATCAACACTACTAACACACCCCAAATCAGGCTATAAGGTATATCATGTTTTAGGGAAGTTGAATTTGTTGTTGAGGTTTTACATTCTCCCCACTTAGAATTTTTATCTAAGGGCCACATCCTTTTTTAACCACTAGAGGGCAATGAAGTTACTTTTATTAATTGATATTTAAAAGTAACATTCTTTCCTTTAATTTTTTTAACCTGTTCAATTGGGTTGTTGATAAGTTTCGGGTTGAGTAAAATAGTTCGTTTCTTTTTTGTTGGTATGTTCTGTTGCTTGTGCTTAGGCAATTGAGCACGATTGGGTCGTTTGGTTTGCTGGGGTTGCAATAGTTTAGTTTTAGACTTAGGATTTTGGCTTAGTTTTACCCTTAGAGCAACAATAAGGGTGTAATAAGTTAGAAATATTAATGTTAATTTTATGGTTGCAATTTGCTGGGCTCCAGTTGTTGCGATTTTGTTTGATGCTGTTTACTTAAGTTCTGAGGAGGAAGTTGCTCCTGCGACCTGGACGATCGATACAGCTTTAACTGGTTAGCATGGTAAATTCTGTTTTTATTATGCTTTCCTTCTGTTATTTTAATTTTATATACTGCTGAACTGAGTTTATTAATGATTTGGAAAGGTTCGATCCATTGGTTACACAACCTATGTTTTGGTGACTTATATGATAACAACATTACTTGATTTTCTACCTTTTAAGTATTTTTTTTTCTGGTTTTTGTTAAAGTAAGCCTTTGCCTTACGTTTGGATTTTTCCAATTTGGCAGCTACCTGCAAGTGGATTTGATTTAAATGTTTTTGCAGATTTTGCAGGTAGGTATCCATTTTTATTTCCTTTAATTGAGTGCCACTGGTGTGCCAAATTAAATGTTTTGGTAATCGCATTGTTCGGCCTGTCATTACTTTAAAAGGTGTTTTATTAGTAGATGCAGCCGGTGTTGCCCTCAATGCCATTAAAATTAAGGGCATGAGGGTGTCCCAGTTACATTCATTGGCAGCAACCAGTTCCTTAGCATCACTTTTATAGTTTGATTGGTTTGTTTCACTATCCCAGACGACTGAGGACTGTATGGAATGTGTAGTTTTTGCAGGACTCCCATTTATTTAAAAAGAACAGGAGTACTTGTGGCACCTTAGAGACTAACAAATTTATTAGAGCATAAGCTTTCGTGGACTACAGCCCACTTCTTCAGATGCATACAGAATGGAACATATATTGAGGAGATATATATACACACATACAGAGAGCATAAACAGGTGGGAGTTGTCTTACCAACTCTGAGAGGCCAATTAAGTAAGAGAAAAAAAACTTTTGAAGTGATAATCAAGCTAACCCAGTACAGACAGTTTGATAAGAAGTGTGAGAATACTTACAAGGGGAGATAGATTCAATGTTTGTAATGGCTCAGCCGGAGTTCCCAGTCCTTATTCAAACCAGAGTTGATT